AGTCATAGAAAAAAATGAATAGAAGTCATGAAGGCATTATTATAAAATTAAATTTAAAAAAAAAAATGAAAGCTAATTCCGTTGACTTAATATATGTACATATATCAGGTTTGCTTCTTGGCACTACATTTGCAGCCAGCCTGATTTATGTCTGAGGTTTGTAATCTCGAATGCTATTTACGATTGACACAGCCGTGGTCGGCATTCTAAAATGTTTTCGCTTGAACCGCTGAACTTTACAAATCAGCAAGACATCAATATGCGCAGACGAAGTGCTAGAGAGAGAGAGAGAGAGAGAGAGAGAGAGASAGAGACAGAGAGAGTGAGTGAGCACCAAGTGTTTGTGATTTTCAAATTAAACGCAATTAAAGTAAAATATGTTGTACAAGTAGAGGCAACTATTCCGACTAACAGCGGGCACATTAAATGGAACAAACGAAGGGGCGTCGACACATGCAAAAGATCAGGGAGTCGCTGCCGCTGGACGTGAGCCGCAGGCCCATTGAATGAAGCCAACTGTGAAAACGGCCTCAGGGCCAGGTCTATAAATACAGAGCAACAGCAACAACAACAACAACAACGGCGAATGCGTCGCAATTGTTGTGGAATGGTGGGCCCGTCCCTTAAAAATAAAACTCAACAACATGTCAGCAGGAGAAGCAGGAGAAGAAGCAGCAGCAGCAACAGCCGTCGACGTCGCCGTCATCGTCGTCTTTGGGATCGGGATCTACGCGCGAAAAACAAAATATTTTCACTTGCTCGAACCAACACGCATAGGAGCTCCCCCCAACCCACACGATTGCCCCACTCTTAGCATAGCATGCACTACTTCTACTTCTGCTTCCTCTTCCTCCTCGAGTTTTATTTATTTTTCTTATTTTTTTTTTCCTCTTCGTTTTTGGAAGCACTCGTGAAGTGTCGTGGAGCGTGCCTGCATCGAGGAGATGCAATCGATGACAGTCGGTAGAAAAGCGCCCGCTAAGCCTGCCCAGATTAACTGCATCAACTTTTTATGCCACGGACTCCACTCGGCAGCAAACATCAAAGCAGCCAAAGACAATTAAAAGGCAATTCCAGCAATGCGCCTGTTTGCACCTGCCGTCTGCACATCACCGGCAACATTGTCAACGTTTGTTCACAACACTGTCCAACATGCGACAGATCTATTGGACGAGGTACAAATGAAATTATGCTGGAGACAATGTGAAAGGCAAGAATTTAAAAGAGAAATCTATGAGAATCGCATAGTAAGAGTGAGGAAAGCGAGAAAAGGGGTAGAAATTAGAGGACGACGAAGAGAAAGAGAGAGAGAGAGAAGAGAGAGAAGAAGTTAAACAGAAGTGAGAAGTGAGTCAGAAAGGAAATGAGTGAGGTGTGAGAGAGCGAAAGAGTTAGACTGAAATATACAAAGAGAAGTGAGAGAAAGGGATTATGAAGGAAATAGCTTAAGTCAGAGATGCTAAGAGAGAATAAAAGACACTCGACAAAAATGAGAATTATTTATTAATGTAGAGCGAAAGCAAGAGAGTCAGGAAAATACTCGGAGAGCAAGCAAGTAAAATAAAATGGTAAATACTAAACACAAGTGAGAGTGAGAGAGCACGAGAAAGTGAGAGAGAAAGAATCTACAGTTGTTACTAAGAGACACCCAAAGGGTGTCTGCATCATATGCATATAGATCTATATCATATAGATATAATAATACAAAGCCCACTCATCTTCAATAATTTTGCTGCAGAGTGTTATTAAAAATAAATACTACATCACATACAAATACTTGAGGCAAATTATGTTGGGTTGAGTTGTTGTCGCTGCCAAGGTGTTGACGAGGCTGACAATCTGGAGCAGCAGCTACCTCCTGCTTCCTCTCCCACCCTCTCTCTCACACACACACACACACAGTCACACTCACACTCTATCTCTGTGCATTGCCGGTTGAGTCATTTAAGCTGTTAAGCCGTCGCTGACGTCTGACAGGTGCCATGATAGAGGCATTTGGCGTGTACATTTCGTCATACATGCGAGAGTTGTTTGAGACGCGTGCTGGAATTAGTTAGCCATGCTGGCAGACGAGATGCCAACCAATTCCAATCTTCACACACACACACACACGCACAGAAAGAGGCAGAGAGAGAGGGAGAGACAGAGAGGGGAGAGTTTCATTCATCCATTGCAATCCCAGATGAGCCGAACGATCAACGAACCGGACCGTCTCCTCTTCCTGTTTGATGAAGCTCTTCTGCTCAGTTAATTTGATTGCCACGCTAGTGCGATATAAAAACGCAAGATTTATGGCTTTTAAATTTTCATTCACACTCGTGTTGATTTGTATGTACTTAAATACAATCTCATATATGTATATGTACACATGCATGTATGTATGTATGTAATGTGAATATTTTGCAGATTTGCTCTACGGCAAGCGGATGCACAAATCAATTACAATTCTTGCGAATATGGGAAACGCTGGCAACGCTGGTGACCAAAGAAAATCCAATTACAAAAGGTGCCATAACTTTTATTTATTAAGTGTCCGCCAACTGACAGCGTTTAATATCGTCACGACTTCAATTATATATAAAAATAAAAAATTTTAATGTATATATATATGTATATGGAGATGTAAATGTAGATGTTCTTTCTTCTTTCTTCAATATTCTTGCAAGCAGACTCTTGCAGTTACTCTTGCAACTACAAAGCAGAAAAAAGTAGATTGTGTTCTAGATTAAATTTACAGCTATGGAGCTCCTGGCAAAAACTTTTTTATTTTTAATAGTAAAACTTCATTATGGAGTACGAATAAAAGTGCCTTCAAATCATGCCAACAGTGAATATAAATGCCTTGAATTTAATATTACTATATTCTGAAGCAAATGTGCAGAGAGATTGATATA